GTGTAGGGTGATATGGTCTAAGTTACATTAAACAAATAATGTTGGCTTCCACATGGAGAGCAAGAGCAGAAGTTAGGAGGCTATTATAGGAGGTTACTCCAATAATCCAGGTGAGACCTGATAGAGGTAGGGATAGAGTTGGTGAGAAATGATCAGATTCTGGATACATGTTAAAGGAAGTGCTGCAGAATTTACTGATTGATTAGGTCTAAAGTATGAGAGAAAGGGACAGTGCCAAGATGGGTAAAAACTATTGGAAAATTTGGAGAAGGAAGAAAAGAAACCAGATGAATTAAAAATAACAATAATAACTTTTACTGAGAACTTATCATGCTATGCTAAATTCGTTCTCTATATTATATCATTGAATTCTCCCTACAATCTAATTTATAATGAAGGAACTAAAGAGGGTAGGCACCTTACTCATGGAGCAAATGGTGGTAGGCCAGGGACTGGGTCCCATGCAGTCTGATTACAGACCACATACCCTTAATCCGCCGCACTATACAACCTCTATTGTCTCTGAGAAATGAAAGGTTACCCAGGGTCGGGGAAAGAGAGGGTTAGGGAGGCAGGGCCAAAATTGAAAAATATGCATCGAAGATTTTAATAACTGACAACTGTTGACAATGCTTTCTGTAGGGGTGTCATCGGCATGGTTTGGGGCTCACCCTCTGTGGCTGCTTGTGCCATGACTGTCTAAATGAAGAAAATGACTGAGTTGCAATCTTTCTGAACCTCTTTAAAAGTGATGTCAATCACCAAGGGATCCTGATCACTGAAGGATCTCCTCAGCGGCCACAACTGGTAAAGAACTGATTCCCAGTCCTATGAGATAAATATCCCCTCAATCTTGTTTAGCATAAACATTGACACTGAAATCGAGTAGGCCAGTGAGATGGAAGTTGAGTCATGACGTATTTATTAAGCTGAGCACAGGCTTTGACACTCAGAAGAACACCAGATTAATTCAAGACACATTCTAGCCCTTAAGGGGTTTACGGCATTGGTTTAGCTGGTGGACCACCCAACCTCCATTAGGACGGAGAAACGAAATCTTCACTTTGGGCTCATTGTGCTGCACAGAATGACAGGCCTAGAGATGAAAAGGGCCTCGGTGCATGTGGAATGCATGCGTGGCAGGCCTGCAGCCCCTCAGCCTGTGTGCATTAACCCCAAGAACAGCCTGGCTGCAGAGTGAAGGTGGCTGTTTGTGCATAAACACTGTCATTTCACTGGGACTGCTATTTCATCTTTGAACCTTGGCTTCAAAGGAACACTGACCTTATTCCTGTAGCTTGCTTTTCTTTGAAGCATATGGCTTTGCATTGCAGATTAAAGTGAAGACATTCATCAAGGAAGAGATCTGGCCAACCGGCTCCCCAAACCCAACCCGAAACAAAGCCTTGAAAGGCTACAATCACAGTAGTGGTGGAGTGGGCCAAGAATGAAGGCTCGAAGCAGACCCTTTTTTCAAATCCTGTAAGCCAGCTCCAGCATGACATAGTGCATCCCTTTGAGCTTTGGGCAACTTTACCCTGAGAGTCAATCTATCTCAGAAGAGAGGGGTGAGTTAACACAATATTCTCAACCTGTCCTGTTCATTTTATTTAAAGCAGGCATTGTTGTAAATGAGGCCAGCATGATCATTCAGTGTGTGCCTTTGAATTCTTCAAAAGACGTGTCAGGCAGAACCATCTGAAACTTGGCTGATGATTCTGTCAATTTTCTTTCCTACTACCTTCTTTTGTTCATTCCTTTGAAAAGAAACTGTTCTCACTTTCTCTCTGGTTCTCCTGTCTTGGATCTAAGAAAACAGACTGTCCACATAGTCTTCTCTGCTATCTATCTATCTATCTATCTATCTATCTATCTATCTATCTATCTATCTATCTATCTATCATCTATCTATCTATCTATCATCTATTTATTTCCTCTTTAAAGATGGCAAGAGGAGTGAAGTGGAAAACTAATTGAGAGGTTAAAAATAATAAGCAAATAATTCTTAACTACAAGGCTAAGAGAAAGAACGAAGGGAAATATCTCCTACCTCAGAGGAAGAAAAATTAATCATAGATGACTATCGAAGGAGAAATGATCATATATTTAATGTAATTTTTATGCAGATCTTCAACCATGATCAGATACACAGAATGAGTTCTGTCTGGGATGAAGTGGTAAAGCAATCCAGAGGAAGGAAGGAAATAATTGTCAAGGTGGGTACATGTAAATTATTTTATTCAGAGAACATATACACTGAAGGATATAAGAAATTAGTAATCCTTATTAAGGCATACGCTAATTTTCAGAATAACTTTTTCCTAGTTATTCATTTTTGAAATAAGACCAAAGGATAATTATGGTCATTATAGAATAATTCATTTAATTTACATTTTAGCATAATTCTCAAATAATTGTTTTTCATTAAGAAATACATGAAGTTCAGGAAGATCATTAATATGGCTTCATTTGAAGCCCATGGTTCCAGATCAGTTTTTTCGCACAACCTGACAGGTCATGTGGGAATACAACTCTATGTCTAGCTTCAGTTTTAAAAGGTTGAAAAATACCCACTTATCTATCTCATATCCAATCCCTTAATTTACTACACCCCCCACATTTGAGTACAGCCATATGACTAGTTTTGGCCAATGGACTGTAAACAAGGGGATAAGTGTGACTTCTGGGCAGATGCTCTTTTTCTTTCTCTCATGGAGACTATGGGAGCCATGGACTGAGATGGCCAAGCCTCAAGTTAGCAGCAGCCTGAATCACTGCCTGCATGGAGGGAAAGTGTGCAGAGAGTTTTCTGATTTGTATCAGAAATGAAACAAGCAAGAAATAAAACCTAATTCTGTTAAACCACTGAGATTTTTAAGGTTTATTTGTTATGGTGGCATAACTTAACTTATCCTGACTAATCTAGAACCTTGGAGGACATTTAGTCCTACCTCACTTCTAGCACAAAAATCCTCCAACAGCAGGCCTGAGACCTGGTCCGAATACTTCTTGAACATTTTAGGAATAACAGCAAATAACATAGCGAGCAACTATATGATATATACTATGTAATTGTTTTCAGACAAAATTTTAAGTACTTTATATGTCTTAATTTGTCTAATTCTTATAGAAACCTATCTTATCAATATTATTTTCCTCATTTATGGCTGGAGGAACTGAAGCACAGAGAAGTAACTTGCTCAGAGTTAAACAGACAAGTTAAGTCACTTGCCTAAGGCCACACAGCAAGTAAGTAGTATCCCAGGAATCAAATCCAAGCAGCTGTTTTCAGTCTATGCCCTTATCTGTTGCATTATGTGTCTTCCCTGGATTGAATTTTAATTTCCTTTTTACACAGACTGTTTGATAAGACATAGAATCATAAAACTGGAAAGACAAGGCTAGAAGGGACCTTAGAGATCAATCAATCACTGCATTTTACATGGAGGAACAAAAATCACGCTGCAAACCATTTTCCTGCTTTAGTGAAAAAGGTCTATCTTGAAGGTTTTCAAACTTGTGACTTAGGGAACACTAGAGCTCAGTAGAAAGGTCTCAGGGCCATCCCTTTGGAGGTTGATGGAGACATTACTTCAACTAGACTAGCCCTGTTCTAATCTATTTTATGCAGTGGGCTTCTGAGTAAAATTCATATGTTAATATTCTGCTGCTTTAATACAATTGAAAAATCATGGCCCTCCCAGACTTCTACTGAAATCTTAGGCTTGTAAGTTTGCATGAAACAATGGAGGGCTTTGTGTTAGCTGGTAAGAGGGGTGGGATTCATGGATTATTTAGACCGGTGGCCAGTTCTGGGGCTAGGATAATTCGCTACTTCCATAAATGCACTCACTAAATTGTGTGGCAGCAAGAACTGCCTTATTTATCACTGGATCTGCACTGGGATATGTAGTAGAAGCTATATAAACTATATCTGGAAGATAGAAGAAAAGTTCCAAGAGCTCTTGAAACAATTTTTCAAAAAGAAGATTAAGCTCATTTGAATTGAGGAAGGTAGCACACCTTGGCTATGGTAACCCTATGTCAAAGAAATGGCTATCATTGTGTGTGTTTTGTCCATATATCCCCAAATAGCCAGTGGTGGATTTCTTCTCCCATTAAATGAAAGAAAGAAAAGAAAGAAAGAAAGGAAGGAAGGAAGGAAGGAAGGAAGGAAGGAAGGAAGGAAGGAAGGAAGGAAGAAAGGAAGG